CTACACTAAAGTGTCTTTACTATCACGATCAATGCATTAAGTCCTGACATTTACAGAAGATTTTAGGTAGTCCCAGGTTATGTATAGTATTGGTCCTCATTATTGACACTTCTGAAAGGATGAGTTACGTCTGTGAATTTAATCTTGAGTCAAATTACCAGAAGACCTTCCCACAATGCTTTTGGCATTCTGTAAAGCAGGCAGTACGCGACCAAGGTGGATCCTCTCCCCGTCTCCAAATACAATCAGGATTTTGTGTTTTTGAAGTGTCATGGTCACATGAAAAATACATTATGTACTGGATAAAAATAGCTAAAACTTTTAAATTGTTTCCTGCAATAGTGTTTTTTCCCCTTTTGAACTTGTATCTTCAAGAAGATAGACATTTATGCCTGAGGCAGTGTTACTCACTGTGAACAAGGAAGCAAAAATCTTTCCACATCAGCAACAGAGTAAGCTTTGTGAAGCCTTCTGCATCATATTCCACCACACCACTATCAACAAAATATACAAAAAAATGAATGCAATCATTCTAATACTGAATGATAAATATGTAAATTCTGTATTACAGGGATTTTTTGTTTGTTTGTTTGTTCAGAAACTTCGAGAATTTGCTTTATTTATTAACAGTTACAATTTTCTAGCTAAATGAAAATTTAGCTAGATTTGAAACTTTGAATTAAACTTTAATTAAACTTTGAATTAAACTTTAATTAATTAAACTTTGAATCTTAATAATCTTCTTATATATGCTGTGGTACAGGAGTCTCTTACCCGAAGAAAGGCCATATTCAATTTATATAAATACACTTTAGAATGAAAGGAGACTTGCTAATGCATCTGCAGTACTAAATTGATAAAACTGTACACACACAAATTCCCTGTATGTTACTCAGATTAAGATAATTTATTAACTCTGTAGTAAGTGACAGGGTAAAATTGAAAATGCGCAGGCTGAGAAGAGTTTAAATCTGAAAATTCAAAAGAGCATATATAAAAAAAGCAAAGCACAAGAACATACAAAAAATTAAATATAGAAGACTTGTTCAGTAGATGGATTGAAAGTTTCAACGGTCAAGAGTTGGTATTCTCTAAAAGTCTCAAGCAGTATCAGGACACATGAATCACTTTGCAAGTGAAATAAAATCATAGGCACACCTACGCCATTTCTATACTGTAGTTTTCTCAGAAGAAAAAGAAATACCTTGTTTTCATAAGGACTGAGCTTGCATCTACTCTCTATCATGTGTCCAGTTCAAGTCATTGTTATCTATCTATAGTTGTATAAAATTTGGGTGCATGCTAGAAGCCACCTGTCTTCCTACCCTCGCTTGAGAGACCTGAGATTCGAAGGGCTCCTGAATACCCATGGCGTTTGGCACTACCGCTCGGAAGCAGAAACCCTCTCCTCACAATGAGGTAAAGCCCTACTGATCAGGCAATCGCTGTCGCATCGGCTCCTGGACTCTCACTTAAGTCAGGATTTAGGCGGGAAACTGAAGTACCTACCCTTCACAGTGCCAAGGCACCCCTGGTTCTGTTGATTTGTGAAGCTAATGTGTCACCGTGGCAGGCCACGGACCTTTGAACTGCAGGAGTTCAACATGACCCGACAGCCCTTTCTCTCAAGAGAGACAAGACACTGCTCGGTGGTGGGAGCAGCTGGTCTCCCAGTCCTGACTTTACGCTGAGCAGTGGTTTCTGGCTCTTGCAAGGCTTGGAACCATACCCACTTCCCCGTCCTCCCACCTCAGTCACTATCTATTACTGTAAGACCCCCTCCAGTCATTTATTCAGAAATAAGCACATTTCCTTTGAACGAGGAGAAAATCCCTACTGTCCTTTTCCCATAATCAGCTATTTTTCTAGCAAAATCAGATCGGCAACTGGCACAGAAGCGAAGTAACACTGAACTTCATTCTCGTACCGTTACAGAGAGACAATCTATGTACATCATTCTGTGAAAAGTGACCAGATTTCATCTCATCCAGCGGACAGCAGTCACATAACCAAAGACCATGTCCAGAAAACAACACTGGCCCCCATGCTACAGAAAATAATGCATCAAAAGAAAACTTACGTTCCAAAGTGACTCAGGAAAGCTGCGATATACTCTCTTCTCTTATGGTATCCCTGAATAACATATTGTACCTTAAAAAAGAAAGAAATGAACAAATCCAAAGCTACAGAAAGATTAAAAAAGCCAATGCTCCCAATTTGTCATATATTCCTTGTTAAGGAAGATTTACATTTGACAGGGTAGTAGTTCTGAATCCTACATTTAGCTTGCATGATTTCCCTAAGAATCTTAAAGCGCCTTTAAAACAAACAGTGGATCTTGCACAGAGAAAAATCTCATAAGGAAATCTTTTTCGCTCACTTCTAAGCGAAACTTAGTATTTCACAATATATTGAAGCATTGTTTAACTACACAAGATAAAGAGCGAAGAAAAGAAATGCGCGACCTTGCCTTGCTGAAGTTTGAGCAGGAAGCCGTGATAGGCAAATCATAATTACCTGAACTGACAGTTGGTTAAGTGTCAAAATAACATTCTGGTTATAACAGAAAAAAAAATCACAACTGATCTTGGGTGTTTTCTGAAGACTGCACCTCCAACGAAATCTTCTTAACACTAAGCTCTCTCAGTGGTTTCATGCTGACTCAGGGAGCCACCTACTCAACTGCGAGCATCAATTTCTGAGGCATTCTGGGTTTTGAAAGACTTCCATCCTGGCACAGACAAAATCCAACAATGCTAAACTTGGAAGACTTAAGGCAAAATTCTCTCTCACCATGTATGTTTTCTTATTGATTTGAATGGGATTACTTAGCAGAACAGTGTGAACAGGGTTTGACCCATAACAGAAACAACGCATGTGTTGTCAGGCTGCAAGAGCATCTGGTTTACAACTGGCTACTTCAAGTACGTACGGTATGGTTCCATATGTGATTCCCTATGTAAACCCCTTTGCCTTCCAGAATGAAAACTAACATTTTAAAAACCCTTTTTCCCCACTGAACATGAAAAAAACAGGACGAATATTTTTCTTGGCTATGGTAATACTAGAATTACTTGGCTGGCAAATGCTTTCCTAAATTTTTTGAAAACGCCTTGATACGATCATTGCTCAGAGCTATCTTGTACTCCTTAAAGTTAAATTCTATTTATAAATTGAGACTTATTTCATTTTATAAAAAACTACAATTATTTTGAAGGCTTTGTGTGGGATCTGAAATGTTATTTTGGAAAAAGGAAAACATATCATAAGTTTGCTTAAGGGACTTTGTTTAAGAAAGGACAAAAACAGTCCTGTATACTTGCAGATTTTAAAAACAGAAAGTAATTTTAACAGAAAACCACAACAAAAACAACTCTAAAGATAGATTCCAATATAATTATGGAAACACATTTTGTAGAACTTTTCCTAAAAGAGAAAATTATTTTCCTCATTTGGACAAATGAAGGTAAAAATAATATACAAATACAAATAGGAGGTCTGTAATAGGCAGATTCCTAGATGTTGGCCCCTAAGTTTTCTTTTGAAAATTACACTTCAATAATGGAGAAGCTTTCAAAATACTATACTCACTCTTTTTTGTTTAAACAGTAAGCTAACTGGAACACAACCTTTTCAGCAACGTTAAGTAGCTATTACTGTATAAACATTCAAGTAGACTGCTGATTCAGTTCATTTGGATGAAACATCTGAGAAGAAAATCACTGAAAGTACTCAAAGCCTACAATGACGACTATGGTATGAGAATTTAGATATCTTCCAACAGGAAAAATAATATGCAAACGACACATTTGTATTTACTAGCAAAACTATATGCTGCAATGCAGTGATGTACGATACAATAACATTTTATCCTAAATTGTAACATGTCACAATGAGAAAAATCCACTCTAGGATCTGATCCGAAACACGCTTGTTCACCTAAAAGAGTCATTATATTCAATGCCCTGCATAGGTGCTCAACGCTTATCAAGAAGGTATTCTTCGTGTAGTTCACCTTAAGTATGCCCTGCTTGGACTACCTCGCAGAAGAAAAACCATGTCTATGGAAATGCTATAGTGTGTTACTGCAATACAGTACAGCACATAAGGGAAAGGAAAATGGAGTTCTCTTTACTAACTTACCTTGTTTGTTAGCAGCTGGCATACTTGGGGTACATAGTCGATAAGACAACCTCCACCAGGAAAGGCTGGGATGTGAAGGGCAGATGATCCTCCAAGTGCACTAAAAACAGAAGTTAATTTAACAGTACATTACACGTACAGTCTCTGGGATTTGAAAGTGATTTCTACAATGAAAAACTTTCCCTGTGCTTAAAGTCAGAGGGTCATGGTGAGGAAGTGTATTTTATACTGTGACGATATAAAAAGTATTGAGTGATACTATCTATAAAACGAGGTTATACCATGGTCCACTGTAATTAAACTAATCAAGAATATCACTAACGCAAAGCACTCTCTCAGGAAATAGCTTTTTCATTGTAAACAGTTCTGTTTCTTAGCCCTCATCAATAAGATGTGGAGCACTGTAGTTAAGATATCTTGTTATTGTGGGATGAGACGACTTTGAGTCTTGAATTATTCAAAAAGCCACCTTCAGTCAAATCAGCTAAGAATAAGCAAAATAATTTGGACTGAGGAGTAATAGATGGCTAGACGCAAATGTCAATCATGCCATCTGCTCCAGTTTTGAGCCTCCCAGTACAACACAGATGTTAACCTACTAGATCAAAGGGGCAGTGGGCCAGAAAGATTACTAGGTACACAATGTAAGGGGGGGATGTTGAAAGAAATGGGTTTGTTCAGTCTTAAGAGAACACTGGGGAGGGAGGATATTGAAGAGGGAAGTTGAAGGCATATTGTTATTGAAGGCATATTGATGCCTTCAATTATCTAATGGAAAAATCTAGAGCCAGAGTTTTCTCCGAAGTGCACAGTAACAGGATTAAAGGCAATGCAGACATGTTGCAATGAAGGAAGTTCTGGTTAGCTATTAGGAAAAATGTTTTCACAATGAGAGCAACCAAATACTGGAAGACAGGCCCACAGGGGCTGGGGAATCTCTGTCCTCAGAGGTGCTCAAAGCTCAGCTGAACAACTGCCATGAGCACGCTGACCTAAGCTGACCCTGCTCTGAGGAGGGGCTTGGCCAGATAACCTCCAGAGGTTCTCTCTCCAGTCTACATTGTTTTAAGATTATATTCCCTGATTCTATGATTTTGTTCATCCCCAGAAGGAAATAATACGAACAAAGATGTTAACCCTGTCCATGCATAGACTGGAAATCTAAAGGGTAGGAAGCCATAGAAATAAGATAACTTCAGACATGTATTTAAGCACCTTAATCAATTGCCTTTATCATAGGATGGAAGACTGAAGCATGCCTGCTATTGCCGAGGATAATAGCTTCTTTGGTGCAGAATGATCTAGCACTTTTTTTTAAAATCAGGTTGTATAAGGCAACAACCAGCAAAAGTCCATACTACTTTCTTTCAGCAGTACAGATCTAAATCTTTCTTATAGTCTTTTACCAATCAAAAGGGATATGAATTTGCATTACACACTGTGGCTTATATCATTTACTACGCATCCAGAACCTTGTTGGGTACAATTAAAGAGCTTCAAAAGCTAAGCTACTTTGTGGCCTCCTGTTTACATGCTGTTTCCATGAAAGATTACACTGGCTGGAAAGAAAATTCTTCTCTGCAAAATAAGGCTCATTCTCCAGCGGGACCTGCCCTTTTATTTTCCTCAGTACTTGATAAGATATCACTTTGGTAGGCATAAAGGTCTACAGTCATACATGCCTTTGAAGGAACAGAGCCTACATAAATCAAAAAAACCCAAACTCATAATGAGGTATATGGAAATCTGCTACTCAGGCAAAACAGTCTGG